CCAACGTTCAACAATAGAAGCACCAAGAAAAATAGCATGAATTTGTTGACCATATTCTCGGGTTTGATTTAATAAATGTTGATGTTTTGATTCGGTTCCTTTATGTTGTTCAGATTTCCATGGTATACCTGTTACCAAAATGATATTTGTAGCCATGAATATGGTCAATAATAATGTTGATGATGAACAATACATTTTTTTTGAACGTTGTAACTTTGAAATATTTGAAACCAAAAAAAAAAAAAAAAAATATGAATATAATTCAATGGAAATGTATCGAGCTTAAAATATGATGTTTTTTTTTGTTTCTATTTATGCATTGTGTCACCAAAATATCAATGTTTTTTTTATCATTATTTCAAGAGTTTTGTTTTTTTTAAATCAATCAATCAATCAATTGATTAACCCTCAATGTGTTTGAGTGTGTTTGTGCCCTGGATTTTCTTATTATTGAGTATTAATTATCGATTATCATCATATCTTTTTATTGATTATTTGATTTTTTTGTTTTACAAATTCAATGAAATTAATAAAAAAAAAGAAAGGCAAATATTATTCATTCATTGTAATAATTTTTCAAACATTGGTTTCATAATTTTATGCCATATTTGATATCCTTTTTTACTTAATATCATTGTTTTTTCATTATAATATTCATCAATCAATTGACCAGATTCATTACGAAAATATTTTGCTAAATCAAGATAAAATATTTTTGAATCATCCGAATTATTTTTAATAATACTATTAATTTCATCAATTTTTTGCATATGATCTTCTTTATGATCCCATGGAAGAACACTTATCAATAATATTTTTGTATTTGGAAATTTTTTCAATAATTTTTCCAATATTATTCGTATTGCTTCAGCAATATCAACCGAACTATCACCCATTACAATATTCCAATAACCGATTTCAAATACAATTAATTTCGGATTCAAACCATCCAATTCACCATTTTCAATACGCCATAAAATATTTTGACTAGAATCACCCCAAACACCATAATTATATGATTGATGTTTTTGATAATAATCTTTCCATATTTCTTTACCAAACATTGTCCAAGCACCAATTGAATTAGAACCAAGAAAAATGACCTGAATTTCTGAACCAAATTGTTTTGTTTGATTTAATAATTCTTGATGTCTTTCTTGATACCATGTAGCTTCACTTAGTACAGGATCCCATGGTTTATTTGATGATAATACCGAATTGATACAGATAAAAGTCAATATTACCAAAAACAATGTTGATGAATTATACATTTTTTTTTGATAACAAACAAACAAACT